TGCTTAATAAACCAGATGTGCAAATAATCACAGATCTTGGTCCGTTTTCCGTTAGGCACGGTTTATGTTGTGCAGAGGTAAGAGAGCTCCCCCTACTGCTGACAAATGGAACCAAGAATGTTCATCATCGACAAGGCTGTACAATACATCACGGAATTATGTAGCAAACATATAGCCCGGCCCCCCCTCCCCACAGATCCCTTAATGGCATCCCATAATTGTCTGTTGCTTGTTATGTTGATGTTCTGTCATTAATGCAAAGGCCTGACAGAGGGTGGCATTATCTCGGGGGTTCCCCCACCCCACTCCTTCTCTGTGTGTGGGTGGGGGGGGGGGGGGCACAGGGCGTGGAGGGGTCCCACTAACTTCACACTGGTGACAGCTTTTGCAGTACTGGCCAGTGCACACATGCAGCAGTGCTGAGCCTGTCCGATACAGTGCGGCTAATGCTACGGCGCCACTGCGAGAGCATCATGTTCATATCTGATGGTGGTGTTATTTATTACAGATAGACGGCAGTGGTAAATGGCGATGTGCGCACGCGTGTGTGCATCGGCGGGGGCCTGCGCTCGGGATTTATTGCAGGTTATTATTAGTTGTGAACGAGCGAGGTTGCTACACTTTGTTATTTCCAAGTGGGAGGAGGGAGTCTATTTTCCCAGTTGCCCTGGAAACCATTGTATTGCGGTGTGTGTGATTGGTGCTGCTGGGGCGAGAAAGAATCTGCTATTTCTGTCATCATTCCACACCTAAAACACACACACACACGCGCACACACACACACACACACACACAGGCAACCTCGCAAAACCAAGCGCTCTCCGTGTGACAGATACACAGCTGTCTTTGCCCCAAGCCATCACTCATGACGGACATCTATGCACTCAGTATATTACATATTTAAAGCATCTGTCACTCACACAACAGAGCATGCAAGCTTGTCCGAAGTCTCTCACAGGGTACATATATAGCCTGCTGCTCTCCCACATCCTCTCTCTCTCTCACACACACAGTTTGCTCTCAGGCAGTGAGTCACTGCTGAAATCTCCTTCACACAGCCAGGCAGATGCACACATATAATCGCAGACACACACTCACTTCTGTCCACAGCACCAGCGATTCAACCTGAACATCCTCTATCTTCGACTTTTACCGCCTCATTCAGGAACTGGCTGCACAGTAACCTGTCTGGTCTCAGCAATGTGACGCCGTAACACAAAAGCATTCATGCACAGGCTGTGCGAGGAATCAGCCCTGCTGTCTGTTGAACACAGGCTTCCAGAAGCTGGATCTGTGCTTGTGAACTGTGGCTGCCCTGATCTGTGCAGCATGTTGTCAGCTGCTGCAGAGAGAGGGGCACTGCATCGAGCTGCAGGTCAGATACAGCCTCTGCAACCATTGAGGCAATTGCTGTATTTTTGTGTACTAAAAGATTGCTTGTTTTCTCATTCGTCCCTCTGGGAAATCCAGCACAGACCTGCACCTGCGCACATGTGGTGAGCACACGAGCACGCTGGAGCGCAGATCCAAACATGTGTGCACACGCACGCTCGGCTCTGTGCACTAAAAACATGCGTGTGGGCACCACAACCTGAAAATGCCTGGTCCAGTCTGAAAACACAGGCACAAACGCTGCTACAGTACATAAGAAAACACGCACAGACATGACATGCAGCACAAAAGCTCTCCTCCTAGTACACACATCCACACATATATGCAGATATAAGCATCCACAGCCCCTGATTATTTATCACACGCAAAATCATTTTATGAAATCAGATCTTCAGCTGGTAAGGTGGGCCAGCTGCCAGTCACTGCCCCTGGATACGCAGCCACCCCTCACTGCCCCTGGATACACAGCTGCCCCTCCCTGCCCCTGGATACGCAGCCGCCCCTCACTGCCCCTGGATACACAGCTGCCCCTCACTGCCCCTGCATGCACAGCTGCCCCTGGCCTTACGTGTGTGTGATGTTAGTATGTTGCATGTTGTGTGACTTGCCTCCAGGTATTCCTCTTTCCTTCTACACTTCGAAAACATGTAACTAGATGAATTAGCGTGTCTGACTTGCTGATGGCGTGTGTCTCTCCTGTTGATTTCACTCCCTCTGCTCCGTGACACATGTTCCTGGAACAGACTTCCAGTTCACCACTGCCCCATTTAAGCAGTGTTCGCAGATGAATGGATAGATATTTTCAAATAATTCTACAAAACAGGTGGAGCTGTTGGGCCAGACAGTTGGAACTGATGAGCTCCAATCCCCAGAGGCAGTGATGTGCTGCTATACCGTATGTTTTTTCTTTTGAGCAGCCAAATGCATCACATGTCAGTAAAAGACGCTGTGGAAAACAGATATGGCTACCTACCTGTGGAGTAGGATGGAGCGGACAGGCCTTGGCAGACACAGGCTATTTGTGGCTTTCCCGAAACGTGTGTATATTCATTTATGTTTTATATAACTCATGGATGATGTTTTTGTCTGAATTTGCTTCAATTGATGATTTCGCTACTTGATTTTCAGGGAGAAGAACCCTTGTGGCCCCAACAGAGTCTATTGATTATCTCATTGATTAGATGTGCAGCCTGATCTGGGAACAGAGCCTTGATTGATGGTTTGATGATTCTCTACCTGATGGTCTGGGCAGTACTGTGACCAGGAGCTGATTGATGACCTGACCCGTCATGGCCTGTTTTTTGTCTCTTTATGAACTTTATGAACCACTGCAGAGCAACATGCCTCGGAATGCTCCCTATTAGCCATGGTTTCTTCCCCAGTCCTGGACAGAGTCAAACGGATGGTGAGTAAACCTCCACATCAGCTCCACCTGCCCCAACAGGTCCTCTACCGCCTCTGTGAACCCAGCACTACTGCCTCCCCACACACATGGGGGGCTGGTACTCAGTCTTCCAGTCAAGGGCGACAGCCTCAGCATTGCTTTTCCCCAAGCCATCACCCCCCATCCTCACAGTCCAATCAGGGGCAGCTGCCCTCGTGGCCCCAGCACAGTCTGATTGGCTGTAGCATTGATTGGTTGGGTGGGGCTGTTCTGTGACCAGGAACTAATCAAGAATTTGAAATAATGTGTTTGTGTGCATGCAATACTCACTACTTACTGTATACTGTACCACACCATGTATACCATCTATACCACTGCATAGATGAACATTCACTATTTACCAGGCATATGTATTGTATAGCTGCTTCTAGTACTTTTGCACTATTTCGCACTTTTTGGGCAGCGTGTGGCTCAGCCGGTTCGGCCTTTGTGCCTGTGATCAGAGGGTTGCTGGTTCGAGTCTCATCCCTGGTAGAATAGCCACGTACCATTAAGCAAGGCCCTTAACCCCCCTAAATGGATGAATGACTGATGCTGTGCTTCATCACCAAACTTTGCTCTTGACCGTGTACATATATATGCATGTATGTTTGTGTGCATGTGTGACCAAAGATCGGATCTGTGAAAAGAATCACATGGAATATAAAGCATCCTAATTGCATTGTAACTGCTACCTTGCGCAGTTACAATAAAGTTCAGTCTGATCTAATAAATTTCTTGTTTCTCACTGTTGCCCAGGTAAGCCACAGTGATGGGAAGGGGGGGGACGATCTCATACCCTGAGGTGTGTGTCCACAGCTAGAAAAGGATGTGAGACTGAGCAGACTGCTGAGCATGCAGACAGGTGCGTGTTTGTGCATGTGAGCCAGCAGGAAGGTCTGCCTCCGGGGGTAGACGTGCAGCAGATGAAAAGAATGGCCTACGGCCTTACTGGGAGCAGCGTGGGGGAACACTGGGGTGTTTAACGGACATCTGTTTACTGGAATGGTCCATATTAACTAATGATAAATTCCAGGAATGCCCTGATGACTTATATGGAAAATCTTCATTCATTAATGAACAAGGTGACAATGCACTGTGTCCCCGCTGCCACATCGCCATTCTCAGTCTGCTACAGCAGCTGCGTGTGTTCTGCGTGTTCCGCTTACTGCTAGGTACATCAGCAGTAACCTTTGATCTTGATGTAGCAGTTTTCTAATAGTCCACCCAGTTCATAGATGTCACAGAGTCCTATAAGCCGTCAGGAACAGCTGGGCCAAAGATGATCTCACCTATTTCCCCAGTCTCCTGTAGGTCGCCATGTGGAGCATCGTGCTTATGATGCCAAGGTTGTTGTATCAAGTCCCAGGGAACACACATGAAGCGTGACCCTTTACTCGCTTTGAGGAAATGAATGTCACACGGTCTGTTAGATAGAACGACCCTTAACAAGTCAGCCACAACACCAGGATGTTCCAGAGGTTGCTGGTCTAGTGATGGCAGCCGGTGGTTTCACAATGCTGGCCTTGTGTTGCAGCTTTCCTGAAGTTTTAACTTATTATTTTTATTCTCCTCGGTACGTGCAATCTAGCCCTGTGTGAGGGCTTTGGGGGCAATCGGCTCCTTAAGCTCCCCACGGCTGCGGGCAGTGCCACTACGACGCCAGATGAAGTGATGGGGAATATATATCCCCTATCCTCCATTCTCATGCTTGGAGAGGACCGACATGACCTTTAGCAAAGACTGTGAGGCTCAGCGGGGGAGGGGTGTGCTGATGGCCAAGGGAGGCTGCCATGAGCCCAGGGGCACTAGGACCCAGATGAAGCCGCAATGCCGGGTGGAGCCACCCCCCCTCCCTTCCCCCCATGCCTGTCTTCTCAGCTCCTCTCTACAGTCGGGCTGTACATGTGTGAGGGTTCCAGCGCGCGCTGGCGTGTGTGTGTGTGTGTGTGTGCGCGCGTGCATGCGTGCGGCTTGCAGGCGGCAGGAGAGCAGCCTCTCTCCATCTCTATCCCTCGCTCTCCCGCTCTCTCTCCCTCCTCGTCCATCCACGGTGGCTGCGTCCCCCTCTCCGCTCCCCGGTGCTGTCGCGGCGGCCTTTTCGCGAGAACCCGGCTCTACCCGTGGTGCTGAGGGGTGGGGCTGGGGGCGTGAGCACGTGCTGGGGGGGCGGGAGGGGGGGGCGGCAGGGCCAGGCAGAGAGACGACTGTGGAGCTCCCATTCCATGCTGCTGTTCGGCTCGACGGCGGAGCAGGTGCCCGGCCAGCTGCCTCTGGATGCAGGTAGGGGATCGTCCTATCGCTGCTCGCTCACTGCCTCTACACAGCCACGCGAGACAAGCGGTGGATCAGAGGCAGCCTCCGCGACAGAACTGAGCACAGAGGGCCGTCGGCTGTCAGGAGACTGGGAGCCGGAGGTCTGCGATCGCGCGTGTGTGTCAGCAGGTGTGCAGACGTGTGTTTCTGCATGCGTGTGTGTGTGTGTGTGTGGCAGACTGCAGATCAGACGGGAGGAAGTGCTTTGGGAGTGCCCCAGATGCAATCCAGCAGGGTTGCGTGCCGGCAGGGCAGGGGGGTGCGTGTTTATTTGTGTGGGGTGACTGGCTCTCGGATGCAGTGGCAGACTTGTGCTGCGGGGGGGGGGGGGGGGGGGGGGGGGGGGGGGGGGCTCGCATGGACGAGTAGGTTTGCTAAATGCCCACTTGGCTGCTCTGCCCACAGTGTCCGGGACTCTGGAGGCAGAAATGATTACTCTGCCGGTGGGTAAGCGGCCACATCCTGAGCGTGTATGACAGCCACAGCGAAGCTGCCTCCCTGCCCGCTGACACCATAAGCGCAGGTATGCCGGCTATGACATGGCCGCTATTAGCCACGACTGAGCAAAGCCGCTGAGACACCTCTGGCATTCTCAAATCTGTTAATCGGTGGCGGAATGCCATCTCAGGTTCGCCGGACGCTAAGCGAGAGGTTACCTGAGCTTTCTTTCCGGAATGCCAATTGCAGCAGCTCGAGAAATGGAGTCCCTGAGACTTCGGATGATGGCAGAGGAGCATTAACTTGTCAGAATCGAAAACGCTGTGCTTATGCAAGGCCGTGTCCAAGAGCTCTGACCAGAAAGCACCTGGAATTACAGAATGTTGACATGATGAAGAATGATGGCGGTGTATGCCGTCAGCGTTCTTGGGTACCTCCAACGAGACGAGGCTGAAGGCAACAGTCTCATATATGAAAGCAAGGGTCCGAGTCCAAGTTTTAGCAAAATGCATTTGGTTGTAAAACTGGCCAAACGCATATGTTGTGTAAATCACTCTGCTAGGTATCTAAAAAATGTAGACTGCGACTCAACCAGCAAGTTAAACAGATTCTCTTCTCTGCCAGGTTCTCGGTCTGGCTGGACACACCATGGACAACTTCATGGAGTCCAAAGGGCCAGGCAAAGTTGATGGGTAAACAGAGGGGAGGACAGAGTAGGCGGAGCTACGCACTCAGCTGTTGACAGAGTAGGCGGAGCTACGCACTCAGCTGTTGACAGAGTAGGCGGAGCTACGCATAAGGTGTTAACAGAGTAGGCGGGGCTACGCATAAGGTGTTGACAGAATAGGCAGGGCTACACACTCAGAAGTTGACAGAGTAGGCGGGGCTATGCATGAGGTGTTGACAGAGTAGGCAGGGCTACACACTCAGGTGTTGATGGAGTAGGCGGGGCTACACACTCAGGTGTTGGCGGAGTAGGTGGGGCTACGCACTCAGGTGTTGATGGAGTAGGCGGGGCTACGCACTCAGGTGTTGGCGGAGTAGGCGGGGCTACGCACTCAGGTGTTGACATTCAGGCCTTTCACAGGTCACAGCACTGGAATGCTTCTGTCTCGAAATCCCCCTTTACCATTATTTATGTTATGTAGTTGCTTAGCTGACATTTCTCTCAACAGCAGCCTTACAGCTTGCAGTTTTACAGGCGACACATGGCAGGCGTATAACAGCGGTGACCTGCCGGTGATCCCCGCTTGTCCCTTTTCCTGCACCCCCCCCCCCCCCCCGCATCAGAAGACCCCTTCTGCCATTACCACGGTGAATCCTTTTATTCAAGTCAGATTAATATTCTTGCTTGTTTATTCAGGTAGTCCCCCTGCTAAGGAAAACTGATGTTAAGTATCTTTCTAAAGGATACAACAGCACACCCCAGACTGGAATCTGAAGTACCTTTTATTAATATGCTTAATTCTTTATTTTCCTGGTAAATGCATTGAATTAGATGAATCCGTAACATTTCATTTCTTGCGATAAGACTTTTAACATCATGCTTTTTTCATTAGCATTTACTTGTTTTTGCAAAGTTCAAACAACCTCATAAATATGTCACGCCTATCTACACGTACTCTGCTTTCCATTATGAAAGAAACTTTAAAAGCTTTTTTGGCCACAGTACTGTACCCTTAACCGCTATGCCACCTGCAGGTCCAGAATACGAAATTAATCTGTCAGCCTCTGAGTGATTCCACCATGTTTATTCATCAATGAGTTTTTTTTATAAATGCAAATTAGTTTTTAGTAATTAGTGTATTACTGTTCTCTTTGCTCGTGACCCTGACAGGAATAAGCAGTGAGAAGAAGGATGAATGGATTGATGATGTTCTGTTAAAATAGATATACATAAAATAGATATATCTCAAAGCAGCTGAATTAGCTGATTATACTAGGGCAGGGATAGGCAGCCCTGATGTGGTTCATCAGAGACCCGGTAGGATGAAAAACCTGCTGGGTACCGGCACTCCAGGAACAGGGCTGCCTACCCCTGTACTAGGGGCACACCTTATGTCTTCTTCAAGAGAAGCGTTTGGGTTCAACCCATTAGGGAACTCAGATGCAACATTCGGAGGTTTGGCAGTGGAGGGCATAGATGCCATGACAGTTTTTATGCTGTAGGAAGTAGCATCTGGGTCTGAGGTCTATCAGTCTAAGAGACATGAAAACACATCATATGCGGATGCTCTGCTATGACACCTTCGAGCAAACGGAGAAGCTGTGGTTTGAGAAGAAGTGTTTGGTGACGGGCAGTGTGAGGCCATCTCACGTGCTGTCAGTCACTGCCAGGGTTCCACACGCTGAGCCTGGGTCTGATCCCATACCACTGAAGTTTCCCTTTCCTGTCCATAAACGAGTAAAAGAGAAAAATGTATAATTTCCCCCAGTGCTCTTCTCCTTTCCCTACTGCTGCTGTCTTTGTTGCTTGTCTCAGGTCATCTGTGTCTTCAGGCTGCTCCTGGGTTCCTTCCTTTCAGATTCGGCACACCAGTTGCCAATAATGCGGCAAGCTGAACCCCAAACCGGTACCTCTACCGTCTCAAATTCCAGAACCCGCCCCGAACCCCAAACCGGCACCTCTACCGTCTCAAATTCCAGAACCCNCCCCGAACCCCAAACCGGCACCTCTACCGTCTCAAATTCCAGAACCCGCCCCAACTCAAAACTCATAGGTTCCCTTTACAAAAGTGACTCATCAGTAAGGTGACTGGAGTTCTGGGAAGAAACGACAGCAGTGTATGCAGTAAGCAGGCAGAGGTGGAAAGTTCAGATCCTGAAAGTAAAAATCCAGACCAAGATTTCGTTTCAACTAACCAGTTGAGTATAAAGAATCACAGTAACAGAGTACTCAGCTGGTTGGTTGAAACAAAATCTGGGTCCGGATTTTTGCTTTCTGGTGCAGGACTAATCATCTCTGTTTGCAGGGTGTTTGAGGAAAGATGGCAATGTAGCTGGGTTTCATACAACAGAGCAGCCCAACCCTGCTCCTGGACATGTACCAGACCGCAGAGCTTAAGAGCAGCACTAATATAACACACCTGATAGAGATAATCAGGCCCCTCAGTAGCATCTCAGTATAAGCAGAAGCAGACTGGGGCAGCAGGCTGTCTCATTTCCAGTGTGGCAAGATATTACAGAGTCGCAGCAATAAATAGGGGTAACACAAGTTACCAAGCATCTCAGCCCCTGAAGGCCTTGAATCTCTGTATGGCAACAAATATAACCACATACTTTATGTACTTTAGCATGGCCTATCAATCACATTTAATTTCTTTAGCACAATTTTGCTCAGTGGTTTATATTTGCCTGACTTTGCAGGGTCTTTAGGGTCAGGGTTTATGATTATGGTTAAGATTATTGGTTAGGGTTAGGATTAAGGTTAGGGTTAGTATTATGGGTTAGGATTATAGATTATGGTTAGGATTATGGGTTAGGATTATAGGTTAGGGTTAGGATTATAGGTTAGGTTTACGGTTAGGATTATGGGTTAGGATTATAGGTTANGGTTAGGATTATAGGTTAGGTTTACGGTTAGGATTATGGGTTAGGATTATAGGTTACGGTTAGGATTATAGGTTAGGTTTAGGGTTAGGATTTAGGATACAGCTATTACTGCTGGATTATATTACTTTGAGCAGCATTGAAATGAAATGATCCTGTATTTGCTATTTTCACCAGTACAGGGACACTTAAATGTGTCTTTTCATGCATCCCATCATGCTTTCCTTCGAGATATAGACACACACACATGTAAGCTTAAAGTGAAGCTTGTCATCCAAGTGAAGGGTCAGGCCACTTATTTGGCCTAGCACATTTTGGGGGCTGACCTTCCGATCACAGGCACCAAAGTTTAGCCTGCTGAGCTGCAATCCACCGCTCCAGTGACATCATCAAACAAGTTACAGTGTAAAAACCTCACCGAAGAAAGGTGCATATTTCATAGGTCATGACAGACACTCCGCCAGCAATTTTGTTACTAAATCCTACCTTGCTCCTGAAATGAAATTGTTAGTAGCTGGGCATATACAAACAAAAAAAATCACAATATTAACTTTAATGCAATATTAAGTTTAATGCAAGAATGAAATTAATGTATTACATAACGTAATACATGTAAGGTTTCACGGTTGAGTCGATTTCCCAGGGCACATGTACACCAGTGTGTGGTCTGCATTGGGCTCCACCTCTTTGTCTTGCAGGTTTCGGTAATCAGGGCGTGTGAAGCCCCTGATAGCATCGCTAACTGCACAGGAGAGGGAAGGGCTTGCTTCCCATTATAAGGTGACCTACACACGTTCTCCAGCTGGAATACATGGCAGAGCATCAGCCTAAACAGCTATGCAGGCATCCTGCTCACTGGAATACATGGCAGAGCATCAGCCTAAACAGCTATGCAGGCATCCTGCTCACTGGAATACATGGCAGAGCATCAGCCTAAACAGCTATGCAGGCATCCTGCTCACTGGAATACATGGCAGAGCATCAGCCTAAACAGCTATGCAGGCATCCTGCTCACTGGAATACATGGCAGAGCATCAGCCTAAACAGCTATGCAGGCATCCTGCTCACTGGAATACATGGCAGAGCATCAGCCTAAACAGCTATGCAGGCATCCTGCTCACTGGAATACATGGCAGAGCATCAGCCTAAACAGCTATGCAGGCATCCTGCTCACTGGAATACATGGCAGAGCTTCAGTGCCTATGCAGGCATCCTGCTCTGTGGCTTTTGTAGAAACGGATTAGCACTGGCTACCTAAAATACCAGTCTAAAGTTATCAATTATGAACTGATAATAATAGGTCAGCGATGTGGGGGGGACACGGATCCCCTTGCAGATTCAGGGGGCCCAGCTCTTCATGTACTTGAATACGTAAAATTGTGTGGGGCGGCCCAAGTTGACATTTTGTCGGGGGGCCAGAATTCCTAGGTCCATCCTTGCAGTTCGTCAGCATGGTAACGGGTTTACAGTGTTAGTGCTGGTTGCTGACATGGCATGGGACAAAGACATACAGTATATGAGTGATGTTGTCTTCCTGTGCTGTGGTGTCAGATGGTTCTGTTTGCTTTTTCCAATGTGTGTCACACTCTCTGTCTCTCCTAGATCAGCTGTTCTGCAGTCGCTCTACCTTGATTCACTGGATGAGCTGCCTCTCCTGGGCACTGCATCGCTTTGGACATTCCGGCTGAAGCTCAGCCTGAGGCCCAGCCTGGCTCTGCGAGTCCATATCTGCTGCGCTACCCTCTCTGCACACACCTGACCTTGGCTTTGGAGGCCATCCCGCCTCTGGTCCCGCCCACTGGCCGGGCAGCATGGATGATGGGCCCGTGAGAGGCAGCTCCCGCTCGCTTCGCCCCGCCTTCCCATGGAGCCTGTCGCTCTCTCCTCGTGGAGCCCCTCCCATGCTGGCCCCCAGCACCCCACATTCCCACCGCCCAATGCGTCAGGGGCTGTGGAGCCCCAGGGAGGGGCTCTCGCCCAGTCCTTAGCCCTCTTTGCAATGCTCCTCATGGACCTGCTAGCCGTGGTGGGTAATGTGGCCGTCATGGTGGTCATTGTCAAGACGCCACAGCTGCGTAAGTTTGCCTTCGTGTTCCACCTGTGCTTGGTGGACCTGCTGGCTGCGCTGGTCCTGATGCCCCTCGGCATGCTCTCGGACCGGGCCTTTGCCAGCGAGGCCCTCTGCCGGAGTTACCTTTGCCTGAGCGTGTGCCTGGTGAGCGCTGCCATTCTCTCCATCTCTGCCATCAACGTCGAGCGTTACTACTACGTGGTGCACCCCATGCGCTATGAGGTGAAGATGACGCTCGGGCTGGTGGCCTCAGTGCTGGTGGGCATCTGGATCAAAGCCATCGTAATGTCAGCCCTCCCCCTGTTGGGTTGGGCCTTCCAGGGCCCTGGGACGGCCCCGTCACCCACATCAGCTCCAGCTCCCAGCCGCGTGCACTGCTCCCTACATTGGACCGGCGGCTCCAACCGCACCATCTTCATGGTCCTCTTCACTCTGCTCTACTTCCTGTGTCCAGTGCTCATCATCCTGGTGGTATATTGCAACATGTTCAAGGTGGCGCGGGTGGCTGCCATGCAGCATGGGCCACTGCCCACCTGGGTGGACACGCCGCGGCAGCGCTCCGAGTCGCTTAGCAGCCGCTCCACCATGGTGGCGAGCTCTGGGGGGGGGCCCCGCAACACCCCGCAGAGGACCTTCAGCGGCGGCAAAGCGGCCGTGGTGCTGCTGGCTGTGGGCGGCCAGTTCCTCTGCTGCTGGCTGCCATACTTTTCCTTCCACTTGTACTCTGGGCTGGCATCTGCCCCACCGGCTTCACTAGCCCAATTAGAAGAGGTGGTCACCTGGATTGGCTACTTCTGCTTCACCTCGAACCCGTTCTTCTATGGCTGCCTGAACCGGCAGATCCGGCAGGAGCTGGGCAAGCACCTGGCCTGCCTCTTCAAACACGGAGGCCCCGGTGAGGAGGATGGCCTCCCCAGCCGGGAGGCCTCCATCGAGGAGAACTTCTTGCAGTTCCTCCAAAGCACGGGCTGCGGCCAGGAAGACCGTGGCTCCCTTGGCACATCCAGCCCTAAGGTGGAGAACTGGCGGGCCTCGGCACCTGCGGGTCGTGAGCCGGCGGCACAGGAGCCCACACCTGTTGACTTCCGCATCCCAGGCCAAATTGTGGAAGAGACCTCTGAGTTTATGGAGCACCACAACCTGAACAGTGACCTCATCCTCTCAGACAGTTGCATCAGGACAATGCCGCCTGCTAAACGAGAGTTGTGAGGGTGGCTTGGCTGCCTTAGGGTAGCTTAAAACAAATTAACAGGATAAGAGAAAATTTTGGATCCACCAAATACTTTGGCCTCTACCTTCCTAGCTAATATATTTGCAGAGCTGCAGTGGCAAATGGTTATCAGAGATACTTCTATGGTTCAGGGTACATAGTTTCTCAAACATCTTTATAGTTTGGTGCAATACAATAGGGGGGTGATTGCTATTCTGGTTGGGTTCTACTTGTGTTCGACTTCAAAGGTAGAGTGAGGGGCACATGATGGCAAAAGTGTGCGATGTGTGTGTGCTTCACAGCCAGGCCATAGACGAGGTTCTGTAGGGAATGATGGCCAAATGATGATTTGCGCCTCCTGCTGGCAGGTATAGTCTCGAAATTATTTATTTTCTGGGTACTCTCCCACCGGGCCTCGTGCCGTCCGAGGATGAGCGCGTGAAGGTCCATCTATTTGCACTCGACAATCCAGGCAAGCTTTAGCACGTTATACAGTGCAGAACCCGGGCTTATGACTGACGCCTGTGCCACAAGCCTCGCCCCTTCTAGACAATCAACCGTGCAATTGTAACTAAACCACAGGCCATAGGAGCCTAACATTTTACAGCATTGTTCATGTTTTTGTTCTATGTTATGGACACATGGTAAGAATGTTGTTTCTCAACAGAAGTAGTTTTACTGCTCCTGCCTGTGTCCAGTTTCACCTCAAGGCTTTGACTTCTCCTCACAAAGTGCTGCTCTTCATAAATAATGCCTAGCTCTTGTAATATAGACCAAGAAAAGTCTCCCCTACTGCATATAAAGACCTGGAAGAGCCACTAAAAGAGCAGTTCTGTAGAGGCGACAATGCCTGCAGCTACTGAGGGTCTTTGCCGTGACAATAATTAGTCACTTCTGATCTTCTGTCCCATCATTTCAAGGTAGAAATTGACTTTGTGTGTGTGTTGCTCTCAGGAGTCTGGAAGAAAGTGTGCTTAAGTACTGTTTGCTAATTAAAATGTTTATCATCATCAGACTTATTTAAGGATTCTGACAGCCGCGCCGCCTGAGTTATTCATAGTAACGGGACCAACGCTTGGGTGTATTTTTGAATTCTGCCAGAATACATTAATGCATCACTGGGTTCGACAAGGAGCTCTTCAGCTGATTCTCACTGTCGCTATGGCTGCTTCCCCCTTGTGCTTCTGTGGTGCCCGATAACACAAACTGGGCTCCCCTAACTCCTGCCTCCCCTAACATCACACCATATTTAGGAGACATGCTGATCTATGGAAAACTCTGACAATGGATTTGGATCAGGCCAAGAGTAACAAACCAGAAACTGCAGCCCATCCATACTAGTTTTCCCATTGTGAGATGCACACCTATAGTTCTGATAATCCTCTGGGACTTCATGATACCACATGTTCCATGACCAACAGCTCTAACTCTATTGGATGGTAGAGAATCAGGACATAACACAATACACTGTGTTTTCTCATCCATTATTTTTATATTCTTAAATGAGTAACCTTTAATTGAGCAAACTCTAGTTACTTAATTTTGTGAAAGCAACAGTGACATTCTCCCACAGCAGTGAGGGGAGGCTGTGGTCCAGGCTGAGTGTGGCTGACTGGAGTTACGCTTTGCTGCGAGCTGGTCAGTCGGGGCCGGGGGGGCATCTCGGTGCTGGAAATGGCATCCATGTTGGTTTAGCAGTGTGTACACCCACTGAGCTTCCACTGAAAGCCCACTCAGCTCGTCACGCCTGCCCTGGCAGTGTCTGCCCCCCCCCCCCCCCCCCCCCCCCCCCCCCCCCCCACACACACACACACAATATTTCACACAAGCACAAAGTAGATCCTCTCTAGTAATGCCATCTACAAGGAAAGAACATGTCATTTTAATACTAATATGCGAGAAATCATATCATATGATATAGGAGAGCAAAAACACAACATTCAAATTAAAATGTGCACCAGCGTAGGATACAATACACTGCCCTCAGATCGTAGACTGTATGATTCTACAAAAAAACCTCATAATGTAGAAGCAGGATAAAGAGACATATACCTGTATATCCATACAGGAAAAGCTGCAAGAAGAGCAGCCTTGTGAATGCAATTGGGATGCAGTCAGGTGTTTAGGGCTGAAGCTTTGTCACTACGATGATGATTCTGCAGACCTGAGGTTTTCAGAAGCTTGTTCACAGGGGCTGAGGTGGATGGGATTTTGATTTCAGCCATGAAGCCATCAAATGTGCTGATATAGAGAAACGTAGTAACCTTGAAGAGGACATGGTTAGATGAGATCTTGCAGACATGGTGGTGCTGTTCTCTTGTATGGCAGTGCCAAGGTCTTGAACTTGATTTGAGCCCCAACTGGCAATATGAGAATCGATGAGACCGAGGGATGTAGCAAAAATCGAAAAGGTGGGTCAGAAATAATCCCTGCAGGACACCATTAGTAAGGGACTGTGAAACTACCCTGAGACTGAAAGACTGCCGTTTAAGCACCAATTTCTTGTCAAGATTTAAATGACTAAAGTTGGAGCACTTTTCACATATAGTTTAGGAGGATATTCAAACAAGCTGTTTAACCTGGGCTTGAGTCATTGACACACAAAACAAAAATGTAAAAACAATTCATTTGCAAAAACTCCTGCCTCAAACTGACAGACACAGCCCAAGATACAGGCTGATACGATACAATGGGGCAGCTTTTCGGGTCATTCCTCTGGACTTGTGATTGGCTACCCAGCTGACACACATGACAGCAGCCCTCGGTCCCGGTGGCAGAGGTGCTGACTCAGGCAGGAGCAGGACAGGCCGTGATTAGGACCCAGTGGCGGCCCCTCTGTTTATGGGTAAACCCCTGGCCCACTGCCCTGCCGCCCCGCCTCGCTGTTTTGCCATAAGCAGCAGGGACTTGTTGTGGCCACAAAGCCGACCCTGAAGGTTGCTCAGGCACCTGTCTCCCGGAACCTTTGCCCCCTTGTATATTGTGCGAGAAAGTAAAAGAATACACACATTCCTAAACGGCCAATCCCAGTCTGGCGCACGATACTGCGTGGCTTCCCCACACACCGCTCTGCGGTCGTCTAGTCGAACCCGTCTCCCCTCCCTATTCCTCTGCTTTATCTCCATCTTTCTCTCCCCTGCTCTTGTTCCCACACTGGCAGTCATGTGAGTCCTGAAGCTTCTCTGTCCATCAGTAAAGACAAGGCAATGGCTGGAGTCATGGATGAGGTGTGAAGATGCAGGAATAAAACTGAGGAGGCCCAGGACGAAATGGAGACACGGCCTGCCTGATTTTCTGGTTTTGTTTTTTCTGTGCCAAACCACTGGAAAGATTTACTGATCAAATTTCTATCCACCTTCTAGCAGGGTCACGGGGGGGCCTTGGGCTTTAACCCCACAGCATAGGGCCGGGGTTCACCAGTCCATCACTGGGCAAATACAAACACACAATGGATCGGAGGTGGAAAGTTCAGGTCTAGAAAGTGCAAATCCAGATCAAGGTTTTGTTTCAAACAAACACCTGAATATAAAGATTCAGTCACAAAGTACTGAATTGGTTGGCTGAAACAAAACCTTGGTCTGGATTTTTGCTTTCTAGACCTGAACTTTCCACCTCTGCAATAGATCACACAGTATGGGAAATTTATGAATGCCAACTGCTCAGAAGACCTACATGGCCTGTGGAGAACATGTTAAACTCCACATGTGCAGTGCCAAGGCAAAATCCAGCCCCTCAGCCCTGGAGATATGAGGCCACAGTAACAGGGAGGGAGCCGCCATGCTGGCCAACAGGAAACTTACTGATCGAAAATCATGGATATCTCATTTTAAATAACAGTCACATGTTGTTGTAAATAAAAAACACTAGTGAGTCACATGAGTAATATGTGAAATTTTAGATATGTTATGTATGAATGAAGGTTGAGAGAAGAAATTGTCAATAAATTGTTAAAATCTTGTCGCCCCATTGATAAGCGCTGAGATGTACTGGGAGAGTAAGTACAGTGCAGCTTCTTAAAGACTCTGCAGAAATTTATTTTTAAGATACAGCTGAAGAAAAAGGTGACATTTCAAAAAAATATTTTCACAAAAAAACTGGAGGAACAGGACCGTTCGGGGCTTCATCCTTGTGTTGCAGTGACCTTGTTTTCATTTCAAAGAAACAAGACAACAAACCCATTTTCTCTGTTTTCATGTTGTTTCATCTAACATCTTTGACTTTTTCATAGCAGAAAAAATAATTTTAGGTGTCAAAGGGGTGATGTGATAGATGAGAGAATCTGATCATTGTCTGTTTCATTTATAAATTTTGGTCAAGACCAAGTGTTCCTCAAGCACGCTACCATTAACTGGCTGCAGATCTATTTGAGTCCCAGCACTGGTCCTCACTGCCTACCTACACTGACACTGGAGACAGTTATGGATGACATCACCCCAAAGCAGAAGAAAATGTATAATATATAAACTTTTTTTTTTTATTTTCTGAAATTGTTGACATTAAAATGTAGAATTTGAAAGCTAACCTGTGCAGTTGGTAGGTATGGCTTGCAAATGAGGATTCTGGGTGTGTTTTAGCAGTAGTCCAGTAACTGGCTGCCCATTTCCGCAGTCCGTTCAGAAGGCTGGAATTCCACATTATTAAACGGCAGCAAACTTGTAGCCTCTCTGCTTTAGCGGAGGACAGACTGATGTGCACAGGTGCCCAGGGATGGGGCACCCTGTCGGTCCCTAACTGACCTTCAGGCTGCGTCTCACTGGTCACACTAAAGTCACATGCAGCTAAGTTGGGGCAGAAAGCTTCACAGCAACAGGGCATGATGGTCAGTTCCCATCTATTATCATAGACCAGGAAGTGGGGTGCCATTCAGAGGGAAAGAAAATCATCAATATTTTGATAATTCATAGGTGATTATCAAACTTGCTGTTTATTGGTATTTGAATGATCCATCCATTGATTCAACATATGCATTTCTGTATCAGACACATAGAGGAATTCCTGGTAACTGCTACTTTAGCTTACATATCACTTTACTCAATTTACATTAACTTATGTCTGTGGGGTTAAAGTGTTGGTTAATTAATTTACTTATGAACTTATGGGTGAATCTGCTGGATTGCTGGTGTATTTATTGCTATTATGTTACATGCATTGACTTGATGCTGAATTGGTTTCATACACTGGCTTTTACTCCCATATGTATTGTCTTGAATGACAATATTTTGGCTGGAAGATATATTAATATATCTTAGATATATTAATATATTAGTTTGGATCTGTTGAGGCCCGTGACACTGGTTTGGTTAACCTCCAACACGGTTTAGTGGGTTAACTTCGCAGTCACAGCACTTTAATGTATTAATTTACTGACTTGCATACAGGTTTGTTTAAATACATCGGTTTACGAGCACGTGAATATTTCAATTTATCGGCTCCCTGGCATTTTCCCATTTTCTCACGTGTGTTTCATAAAAGTGATGCTGCTCTTTCATGTCATGTTACTTTTTAAGTTATGCCTGGGCTTTGCACCATCGACCATTCAGTTCATAAGTTTCATTTTATGATAGCTATGTATCCAATTTGATGCAAAAAAAATGCTGCTATTTCAATGCACAAGGAAGCTGATGGAATTGCATGATTTTGCAAAATTTGTAGCATAACAAAGTATTCAATTTGGTCAGCATAACTGTATTAAAAAACTAAACCGATTCACCAGGGTAACAGATAACTGATACATTTGTGACAAATTAATAAATACAACTGGGAAAAAAACAACAGATTCACCAATAAGCCAATGTTGCTACACATAATGCATCAGACTGCAGTGGTAACTTCAGTAATGCAGCTACATTCCACAGGCATCAGCACAAGTGTTGAACCAATGCATGGACCACTTAACTGATATAGACGCTTGTGAACCAGCTAGTCTGCCAGTCCGACAGAAATTTAGTAATTTTTCCCCCTCAGATAGCAGCCGTCTGTGGCCAAAAGGGTCCATACAAAACAGCTGGATTGAGCAACAACTGTTCTTTAAAA